ATTATTATTATTATTATTATTATTATTACTATTATTATTATTATCATTGTTATTATTGCTCTCAGAATAATAATAATGACAATACTGCTAGCGATGGTTTGTTTTTATCACACTTTCAAACATGTGCTTTTTCAAGTCTGTTACATTAGTTTTAAGTTCAATTTTTGCTCTTTGCTTGAAGAGTAATTAGTAATGTTTGCAAGAGGAAATGATATGATGGGCAAGTGAGTGTCTTCAAGATTTATTATGATAAGTAATTATTCAAAGTATAAAACGATTTTTCATGCAATTAATTTTTTTACTAATTGTTTTAGACTTGAAATTTGCACTTATACTTACATCACTTGGCATTTTCAATATTTATGCATTAAAATTGTTATAAAAACGTGTGCGTTTATTTGCATTTACGGTAGATTTCGCTTAACGAATGGACTTATTCGAAGACAAGAAAATTGGTTTCAGAGAATCAAAATTTAATAGCTAAGCAAATCACAGACGGTAGCAATCAACTCTCCCGTATGCATCATCTTCTGACACTGCATCTCTTGATGTTTGCAATTTTTCTCGTAAAACGTTGTAAATGACAATTAGAATTGAAATGACTACTTTGTACAGAAAATTACCGGTTTTAGGTGTTTTGTTGATTTCAATGAAATCACAACCCCTCACCGCGGTGTCTTCTCACCCTTGTACCGCTTCATTCTGCTCATTAATTGTTATCAACTTCTGTTACCATGAACATGTTCATCTTATTGATATCACTAATACTACTATTAACGATTACTTACCAGGTTAGATATTAATAATTTATTATAATATATTATTCGGTGAATGCAATAAATCCTTGTATTCAGCACTTTTTCAACTTGATTACTTATTCAAATTACAAGACGAAACAACTGATAAAATTATTTTATTCAGCTTCTGCAGGTGTAACAAGATGCAGTGGTTGTTAGCTATTTACAGTGTTACTTACATGATGCAATTTTTTTATAACGTACGAAAACTTCGGTATAAATTTACTGAATAGTAAATAACTATTGCAATTTATTATTGTGAGTTCTGCAACACATTTGAAGGAAAAATAATGCACACCAATTTTAGAATAAAGTCAATACTAAATTTTTTGCGATGGATTATAAGAAAGCAATGGAGCATAAGAGTTTTAGGGAGTCGAAGGAAGGAGCAGAGATGAAGTTCATGTTCAATGTGGGAAGAATTCGGAGTATACGAAAAGTGAAGTTTTGCGACATAATAAACCGAATAATTTGTGGATAATTTACGGCACAAACGTAAGAAAATTTGTCCATCAACATCACAAATTGCTAAAACTTGCCTTCAGAATGTGAAATGTGAAGAAAAATATTTAAATTGATTCAAATGTTCTTTTAATTTCCAAATATTTGGATTTTCTGCCATTTCATTAGTAGTAGAATTTATATAGAAATCTTCTCAAGTAGTAAAAATAATAAGACAGAACAGTAAATTTAAGTTAAGGATAACATTCTACTCCTTATTAAGCTGTGTCAATGGAATGAATTTTTATTCGAAAACATGGATTTTTATCATGTTGTTGTGTTGTCGTTATGTTCAATGTAGGTTTAAAACGCGAAATATCATATTATGTTCGATTTTAAGTAGAGGTTCTGTCGTTAAATTCTTACAGGTCTTCGACGTAACGGAGTACTATCCAGATCATCCCGGAGGTGAAAGAATGTTGAGACAAGCGGGTAAAGTAGGTTTTACATGTTTTGTCATTAAAAAGAGGAAAAAACTTAGCGGTTCTAAAGTTTTTTAATAACGAAAAACATAAGGGATGGGAAGAGGAAATATTACTGATGAAAAGAAAGACTTATGTCCTGTGATTCATATTTTGATTAATTAGAATAATTAATCTCAAAAACTTTCTTCGTCTTCAGACGAAGAAAGCGGTACTAATTGTGAGGTACTAAAATCTATAGGTTATATCAGCATTAAATATCCATTACTCTCAGTTAAAGTTTTTTCAAATAACAAATAAAATTTAGAATGCGACTACAGCGATTTTGAATGTACCAGCTCATTTCCCGGTACGACATCTTATTATCAGCACACTATCAAAACTGTGCATTGGAAAAGTTAAGGACTAGTAGCGAGCAATACGAATGCACATAATTTTATTAGGTCAAATTGTCAGCAAATCAGTTCAGTTATCAATCATTTGGTACTTTCTAAGCATTCCTTAAATGGCTCTTAAACTTTATAAAGCCAAATGCTTTATGTCTTTCGGTTGTGAAGTGAAAAAGAAAAACGCAAGCGAAATTTGCACTACTTGCGTGGAGAACCAAATACTTTCTCAACTGGTTTATTGCTAAACTTTCTTGCTCTTGGAAAATACTTCCGTTAAATTCATGCTTGATTTATGCTTTGAATTAATGTGTGCTTTCGGTTGTTAGGTGCCAATTGCATAAAATGCATATAAGTAGCAGAGAACTTGTCTAAATCATATATGTATCAGTTTTTTTGTTTTCAGAGCAATTTTTCACGTTAAATGCATTGTTAGAGTGTGACATCCATTGGGCAGTTTGACACAACTCGAAAACATTGCTTTTACTAATTAATTCAATTAATTCATTACAAATAACTGTACACTAATAAATAAACCCGCATGCATACGATTTCTCATTCCACTGAAACAGACCGAAAGTCTGAGCCATAAATAACATCGTGTGATCAGAATGAATATTCGAAAGTAAAAGCATACATTTCAGTAAAGTGACTGAACAAAATTTATTTAAAAAAAATTTATTCTAGCAGAAAAAATTTATTTCACACAATTAACAAACATTCGCGGAATAATTTGCTAATGTTAAATGCTAATTTTTCTAGCGTGCATTGCATTTTATTCTGAAGCAGAAAATATATTCAGAAGAATGAAAGTGGATTAGAGTTTACATGTCATTTGAATTAAAATGAACCAGACACTGCATTCTAAATTTATATAAATTTTTCATACACAACAATTTTTATGACTCAGAATGCTATGAGTGGAAACACTTTACACAGTTTTACCCAAATTTGATCTGAAATTCATGCACATTAATTAAGTACAATAATTTCCATCTTAAATTTGTTTTCTGAACAATTTTAAGTTCTGTTTTTGAAACAACCATTTTCAGTAAAATGTACAGATATATATGACATAGTTTTTAGAAAACGTACACACATATACAACATAAGTTTAAAAAATAATCAGTTAAACAATATAAATTTTTTAGAAAAAAAAATGTGATGTCTAATTTTTCATTTTGATATATTTGCGGTGCATTTTTTATTAACCTGTGAAGTAATCTGGCAAGATACGAATTTGAAACTGGAAGCAACTTCCTCAATCTCCCGCGCGGATAAGTAAGTAGTAAGTAATGAACAGTTTATCATCAGAAAACCCAGAAAAGTTAATGAAAAGATGAGAATGTAGATTCAAAGGAGAATAATGGTTTCTGAAAGTGGGCGTTGTACAACTTGCTGCTGCACAAGAAATTCACATCACTGACTTGAAACGAAGTAATTTTGACTAGAAAGCAAGCACAATGTATTGGATAGAGAGTACCGTTACATACGTATGAGTGGAAATAATCCACATCTCAGAAATCAGCGAGTGGCAGTAAATTTGAGCTAATTTCCAGGCAAAATCGAGTAGCAACTCTCTATCATTACAACTGAAATGCATAATAATATTTATAAAAACACATGCAAACAAAATAAATGAATATTAATTAACGTGGAATAATTCCAAGTAGACTTTTTACGCCCGTTACTTAATAATGACAGAAGAGTGCGAAAATTATAAAACTGAAATACATAGCAATCATATTGGAGAAAGCTTGCGCTGAAATGACTTAGTTGTTCGGGGAACAAACAAGCAGAAATCATATACTCAATACATGCAATAATTTAAAAAAAATTGACAAATTTATCTTTATCAACTTAGCTGTCAGATTTGTTATTCTCAGTTTCTCCTGCGAACATGTTCGCTTGTTCTCACTGCAAACAAACTACATCACTTGTACAAGCAATAACACGTTCCCTACTTGTTCTTCTGATAACGAAATTTCGCAAAAACAAGTCAAGTCAAGCATTCTAATTTCAAGAAAAACTCAAAAATTTTAACTAATGAATCACTTATTTTTACGCAGTCAAAAATCAGCTAATTGCAATCTGAATTGATCTGAGACTGATTTTGCCACCTTCAGCACCACTTCAATATTACACACTATTGCCAAATAAAAAAACCACCAACAACAATAGGTAATAAATAATAATGTAGTAATTTAGCGAAAATCTCCAATAATGCCACAATGTCCTATGCTATGTGGTATAAAATACAATAAAATGTGCTTCTTAATCAAATTAATAATCTCTCACAGGTACTTAAAAGCTAAAACTTTCTTGAAATGCAGTGAGCTGTCAAGTCACTTCGAAGAGGCGCTATTCAAATTTTTCAGTTAAAACAAGTTTGCATATGTGCTAAAGTTCATAAAGAAAAATTTGAATTTTATAAAAAATGAAAATGGCGAACATTTGTTTGCAGCAAACACAGATGAAAAGTTAGTTGATCAATTTTGTTCTCAAAAACTAATCAAATATAACTCACTTTTGCGTTCGGAAGACAACGCAGTCTGTGCTAGCAGTAAGTTCGTGCAAGGCAAACTACTACGTCTTAACTGATTTGTTTGATTATTTTCCATTGATAGTCAAAAAAAATTTGTAACTCATTCCTGACAGTTAATTTTGTCTGACCTATTATGCATGAGAAGTATGCATTATTAGCTTAAAACGCAAACTTTAATAAAAACTAGCAGGAGCCTTGGCTTGATCTAGTGAGAATTGATGAATGATATATAGCAGGTTTTGCGTTGTTTGAAATCTGCAACAAGTGGGTTTGATGATTCGTTGAATTGAAATTAACTTCTTGAATCGAATGCATCTAGATCGGGTCTGGTGCATCGAGGTGATTATCGATTATTGTGAGAGTCTTACCTCGATAAGTTCAATTCAGCTTTTCCCTTGCTTATATTCATTCCAATTTTATTTTGATTCGTTTCTTTTACACCTGAAAAAATAGCAGTGGCAGTAGCAGTAGTAGTGCAGCAGCAGTAGCACACATTTGCCATTGTCTACGTAGTACTGCTTTCACTTGCTTTCTCTTATGCTTTTTGAAGTGCACGTCGAAACGGCTAGCCCACTTAGCCTTGCCAGGCCTAACTCTACAGGCCTTTTTCCCTCAAGCCTTACACGACCTCTCTCAGTCCAAGTCCACTATCTGAGACCACACTTTTTCATAGCAATCGAACTTTGCACACGTTGGACCGTTTTCCTCCTACTCACTCCCATTGCTATTTCTTAGCTTTTTATTTCTTTTCTTTTCCTCAAAAATATCCCAGATGCATACGTATCTGTCTGTTAGCACCATAGCTTCCCCTCAAATGTTATTTCCTGATCACTTATGCACTGCATCTTAGCTCCAAGTCTTGCTGCAGAATGTACGTGTGAGATGAAGTTTCCTGTGGTATTCAGTAGTTCATTTATTTCAGGTGCTAAGCTGTAAAGTCTATTTAAGAGTACATTGATCACTTTTAATAGAATGTAAGTCAAAACCGAAAAATTCTCTTACAATAATATTGCTATTAAATGCAGCACATTGTCGTTTATTTAGTTGGGTTGTGAATCAAAATACTTCCAGCTATTAATAGATGTTTTATTATTTAATTTTCAGACTGTGATGGGAATAACACTTTTCAAAGGTTCTGCATAAATCGTACTCTCTCACGTTTCAACGTAAGTGTTTATGTAACAATCTGTCTTTCTACTAACATATGATTAGTTAATTATTTAATTGCAATTTGTAGTTTTATTTTAGGAATTGGAAAGGAATATACGAAAGTTAAAGTCCTCTTTCATTCGTTACGCTCTCGTATCTTCATTTGTTTCACAATTATGGTCGGTTCTTTACTCTTTGAATATTTAATTATAAGGTTGTGAAAAAGTAGGGAGTTTGCTGACAAGGTTAAGTACTTCATTAGCCATTGCTACATTCTTGTTATTAATTGTTGTTCTAGAAAATTTCCAGATATAGTGTCGAAAAGAATGGAAGTAAGTTAAGTTGGTTTTAAAAAAAGTTTATCTTATTCATCGATGTGTTGCACGCTCAGCAAGTATCAGATTTCTGAGAACATAAAATTAATGGACTTAGGTGTCTAGGAAGATCTAAATTTGACTATCTGTGCAGCATACTTTTCATTTTAGAATATTTCCAGATATAGCAAATGTAAAGTTGCTTCTTCCAAAATGAATTAATTTTCAATTCTTTTGTGATAACTTTTTTGATTATTTGGACCTTTTTATGCTTATGCTAGTGTATTCAGATGCAAAAGTTGAAATTAATAACATTTTTTTCAGGGAAATGAGTCATCCTTGCCAATGGAAATGTGCAGCAATTGTAAGTTTTTATTTTCTTACTACGTTTACAATAACATTTGCCTTTTCTAGAGCTATTTGTTTCAGCTGTGTAAACTACTTTTAATTGATTAACTTTAAATATTCGTAACACACAAAAAAAAAAGAAGTAATAGTGTTGTTTACCGAGTGAATAAACCCATTTTATACCACTGTGTTAGTACTTACATGTGTATTTTACTAATCTTTGTCAGGGAACATTCCATTTTACTTTTTTATTACTTCTCAATAAAATTATTTTTTTTAAATTGATGCTTGCAGTGGTTTCATGTCAGAGTATGTTTTAAATCTACTATTCTTTAAATGAGAAGATTGTTTATACAAATGATCTGACAAGTCTTCTGTTTGCTAAACAAAAATATACATTATATCCCCTGATTGCAATGTTTTCTTCTCTCGCTGCCTAATTATGATTGTCATAGTTGATGCTTACGAGTTACGTCGCTTGGCACGCCGCTTCAAAAAATTAGATTTGGATGGTTCAGGAAGTCTAAGCGTCGATGAGTTTATGTCCTTACCAGAGCTGCAACAGAATCCATTGGTTCAAAGAGTTATCGACATTTTTGATGAAGATGGCGATGGAGAAGTTGATTTTAGAGGTCTGTTGTTTATTTTTTACGATATTGAATTTTTATATTACTTCCTTTATAATTTTACATTTTTTCCCTGATAATATAGAGTTTATCTTTGCAGAATTTATTCAGGGAATATCGCAGTTCAGTGTAAAGGGCGACAAAACTGTTAAACTTAAATGTAAGATTTCATAAGTTGTCACTTTATGAAGAAAATTTTCCGAATAAAACTGAATAATATGAGCTATTATTGACTTTTTTTTTGCGCAAATTCATGATAAACTTATTATTCTTTTGAGCCGTTAGTTTTACGATCACCTAAAATTTTTTATTAGCTAAGAAGAATGAATAGAGAAACGTGGTTCTTCGTTGTAGAAATGAAAATTTTTATGTGCTGAACAGAAACTTCTTAAACTTTCATATTCAGTTGATTTTTTTTTCGACAAAGACGTGCACTAAATCATGTATCTTATAGCAGAACATTAGTCTGACTATTTCATTTGAAAAATTTCTGAATGTAGTCGATGCTAATATATATTTCATAATAGTTTGAGTAATACCTAATAAATTGGTTCATTACTGATGTTTTAAAATACTTTTGAAAATATTAACGAGTAATGCTAATTTTTTGAAGGTTACGAGCAGTATGAATGAAAATTTATTTTAAAAAATATCAAAACGTGTGATAGCTGACTATATTTTTTACGTGGCTCATAGTTTTGCCCATTTACAGTTGCCTTTCGCATATATGATATCGATCGAGATGGTTATATTTCAAACGGCGAACTGTTTCAAGTCAGTCTTATTTGAAATCATTAATCTGGTTTTGTCATGCATATGCAGAGCTTCGATATAATTCAAACTTTATATCGAATCGGTATTATGTTTTAGTCTTCAAGCATTAGTGATAAAGGATTATTTGAGAGCAAGAAGAATTTTCATAGCGCAGTCATTTAGGTTGAAAATACAGTAGAAAGAGGCTTCTGTACTCATATTGTACACACTATAATTATATTATTATTTAAAAAAATTTTTCAAACTCATTTATTGTGGGAAAAAAAATGGCGCAGTATTTTCAGGTTTTAAAAATGATGGTGGGAAACAATTTGAAAGATAACCAATTACAGCAAATAGTCGATAAAACGATACTCTTTCACGATAAGGACGGTGATGGCAAAATATCGTTCGATGAGTTTTGTGATGTAAGATCTATTACTTAATCGCATATTTGATTATCTTCATTTGTTTTCACTTAATACTCCGGAGGATCTAAGAATGTACTTCCTGTTTCGACAATATAGTCATCTTAGTGAAATAGTTTGTACATTTAATGGAAATGAGTCAGATTGTGGTTACGTTTTTTAAAGAATCGGCTGAGATCACATAACAGTTTTCATACTTTTGCAGTGATTATTTTAATATGCTGTCATATCATCATGTATATTTGTGAAGTATTTTGAAGTTGTGAGTGCAGGATGAGTACATCTTGTAAATATTTTTTAGGTTGTGGAGCACACTGAAGTACATAAAAAAATGGTGCTAGAAAATATTTGATTCGCGTGCTGCTGGTTTAGCAGCAACACTTGCTTCATTCTGTTGTTGCCAAAAAAAATACAGATCTCTTAGATTTGGTAAACTGTATTTACGTTGTTTTTGTATTTACTATGATCGATGTTATCTATTGTGATCAGTTTCGGTGAACTAGGCTTTATCTTGGGTTTAACAATAGCTATGTAGCTTCCCTTTTCTAAGGCAGTACAGTAAAGTCAAATTTTGATTCATGCATTCAACTTTTCTCTAGTTATAAAACTTTTTTCGCTTAAATTGTATCTAAGTGTTTTTCTCTAAAATTTATTTCGCTTTCATTTTCAGCACTTCATTCATTAGTTTCTTGAGTCTCAGTTTCATTTGTCTTGTTATACAGCAGATAGTTCGATATTTATGGCAATTTTAGTTTAACTCATAATGTTAAGGATATTGTGATAATTGCATGGAAATTTGTTTTAACTGTGAATTTGATATGGAAACTCGAGAGATAAATTATTTTATACTATAGAATTAACGTAGGAGTGGGTAAGTAATTTTCTGCTCAAATCTGTCATGAAGATTCGTTAGATTCCATAAAATATTTTAGTTTTCATAGTTAATGTTTGTCACTTGAGAACTTTGGCGTATTCCCTCGTATGCCGAGCATTCTGCCAGCTTATTGTGTTGTAGTAGTTTTGGAATTGTGATTTTTGCAGTTCATATGAAAGCTTTCATTACAGTTGTAGATTAATTTGCTTGATTTATATCTGCTTAATAGAAGATCATACCGTCTTGGCAAGTTTTCTGTTGAATTTTTATTTTGCTATTTTGTGCTTTTCCTTACGTCGTTTTCAAAACTTTTAAAATTATTCTGTGGAAGCAGTTCCTTCATAAATTGAGAAACGTTCTTGTATCAGCCAAACGAGTGAATCAAGCCTCGTTAGTTTTTTCTTTTTTCTAGTATACCCCAGGTGAGAACTGCATATATATCTATATTTATTTATTTATCGTACGGACTAGCTGAAAAAATTTTTTTCTGTTCGATTAATACTTGGAAACATTTTGTGCTTGATGTAAGTTGCTGCTGATAAATTTTCATCCAGAAATATGAGTATATTGTGAAAATTGGAGAATTTTTAAAGTATTTGTTGTTAACAAGATCCATGCAGGTCATTAAAGTTCACTTTCGACCATCTAAGCACTGAGGAGTACTATGGAAATTAATCGAAGGAGGAAGCTTTTGAGATTTAAATTTTTTTATTATTTCGAGATTAGGGTTTTTCTCCCGAAGAAGTCACATTTTCGGATTTTTACTTTTTCAAGTATGCAATAGTGTTGTCATAGCTAAACTATAAGGATGAAATAATCGGTGAACTGGAAGATTACTGTATAGAAAGCAAAAATGTTCGAAAGAAGTCTCTAAAGCTTGTGTTTTTTGAGATATAAACGGTCAATTGAAAGTAATAAGTTTATTTAAATTTCATTTGCTAGTATATGAGGTTGTAGCCCTAATTTCATGTGCTACAACAACAGTAATGTCATCTGCAAGAGTTTGGTGTTCGAAGTCGGAGTTTGAATTGGACTAATGTTGCTAATTAAGTTTTAGCTATGCATGAATTTTGTTACTATAGTTTATGAAAACCTGGACATTTCTGGTTCCACAAGTACTTACAAGTGGTGTGGAGTTCGGTCCACTGTATCAGTCTGTAAAATTTAAGTAGTAGTCATGAGTTCTTACTACGTATGTTGCAATCAAATAAATGTCTGCTCAGTCCTAACAAATATTCAAAAGTCATTGTTGGAGTGGGAGTCGAAAGTCGTTTGATTCTTGATAGCTTGCAGCCGCTTTACTTCCAGTTTAAACCTCATTAGTATAATGAAGAATTTGTTTGTGTTATTGAGTTTCAAGAATTAATTTTGTTATAGATGGTAATACAAAAGAATGTGGTTCGTTTGCCTGTTTTCGTGCTAAAACATTCAAATCGTACCAAAAGTCGACATACTAGTGCTCAGCGTCAACAAGCCACGTCTTCAACTGATGTATCAGGAGAACAACATATTTCAAAATTTAGAATATGTGACAGCTTTGTGGAGTATATGATTAGCAAGCATCAGCAGAGACTTCGACAGTTGTCCGCCCATATCAGGAGAGAAGCAGCTGAACGCCAAAATGACTACGGACGGGTTATTTCTTTATTTTTTAAAATCTCTTTCTATTAGAAAAGTACGCATTTTTCTGTTGGTCAAAAAAAAGTATGAATCAGTAGGGATGTTGAAGTTGGAAGGTTTTTTTTTTTTCTTTCTGTGACAGTTTTTATATAGAAATGTTTCATATTAATTGCTCGTAAGTATTTCTGCTACATTAGTTGTTGGTACTCAAATAATATTGTTGTGTGTAAAATGCATGAGTCAATTTTTAAGTATAATTTTTGTTGTTATTCAAGACCTTCCGATATCGAGACTTTATCATCACAGGCTTACGCCAAATTCTAGCCCGTGACCAAAACCAATATCTCGTCCCTGTAGGTTCTACTGCTTCGGGTCTTGCTAGTGGTACATCGGATATTGATTTAGTTTATATATCTACAACAAATGAAAAGCAGAGAGAAAAACTGTTGCAATTGCTCACTAGGGAAAGTTTCAAACGGTAAACATTATGAGTAGTCCTTTCATAATTTTTATAACATATTTTTTGAAACTGACAAAAGTTGAGAGACAAATGTTCCTTCGATGCATTTTGTTTTGTTATGGGTATATATCATTTGCAGTTGTTTTTGCAGTACATTTATAACAGAGGTGAAAAGTAAAATAGAAAAGTCCAGCCTTGTCAAAGAATTTGATTGGAATGAGACAGATATCATTCATACAGCTCGGGTACCAATCCTTCATTTGCAAACGAAAAAACGTATGCAAGTTGATATTCAGTTTGAGAAATATGCATCAATTAGAAATACTTACTTTGTTCGACGTTGTTCTCAGGTTATACTTGATATATTTTCATAAAGCATAAAATAAACCAGAATTGGGTCGCACATAATATCTATGAAAAATTTTAACCTTATTCCTTTGATGTTTATAAATTTTAGCAAAAAGTTTTTATCAGAATTTCTAATTAAATTTAGCATGACGTTCGTGTATGTCTATTGAATATATGGGCTCAGAAATGGTTAGAAACACAAAGGCTAAAAGACAGTAAACATGGTTTATTTTCAACATATCATGTGTTAATGCTCGTTCTTCATTTTTTGCAGGTTAATGGTATTTCTTCATTGATTTATAAATAAAATGTTTTTGATAGCAATCAAGTCACCATAAAGTCAGTAATGACTTTGCTTCAATTTCTAATGTAAATTCTAATCTTAGTTTGCTTGTACTTGCATAAATGTTTGCTTTTTGAACTCGTTTTCAATTGCAGTTTCAAAGTCAAAATTTTGGAGTAAATTTTCATTTCATTTCTTACTAAATTTAACATGGTGTTCGTGTAAATTTATTGATTATATAAGTAATCAATCGAAAATTTTTTATAATGATTAGTAATTTCCTTCAGTGCACTGGTTTGTATGGTTTTAAATCAGTTTTACCAGTAATGTGCAAGAAGTATAGAGGAAATCTAAAGCCGACTGTACCTATTCAACAGTTAACAGCTTCTTTGTGTTCAAAGCCTGTATGTTTTCTGATTCTGACTTAGTGTCATTGTTCTCATTGCATTGCAGATTACTTTTTATAATAGTATATGCTCACTCGAATTTTTTTCACGGCGATTTCTGTTTAGAAAGAATTGAATTTTCAAGAAAGGCAGACGCCAGACGTGGCAGAATTGGTATTGTTGTTCATAAGCCATTATGCAAAATACGACTTTAGTGAAATTAGCTTGCATTTGCGTGATGGAACAGTCACTGAAAAAAACTATATCTGGTATTTTGAAGCTTTCTTTATTTTGCAATTTCAGGTCACTCACAACTTTTGAAATGTATTTTAGTGTTTGCGTATTGCATGTACTGTTAAACTTTGTTGATAATGGAGACAAAACTTTTATACCCTCATACATACATAAGGAAAGAAAATTATTGAGAGAAAATAAAGAGTAGAATTCGGGTTGTTTATAACAAATTTTTACAAAGATAGTAAAGAAAGTCAGCAAAATCTTAAACATCAGTGTTTAAAAGCAATGAATTAGTAAAAAAATAGTCTTTTTATTCATGAATTTTCTAGACTAAGCTCATTTGTTGAAAACCCGTTACTTACAACTGTTAAGATATCGTCCCTTTGTGTTTTAGCCATGAATTCGATCGAAATGACGTTTCATTATTTGATCCTTATGCTTCAACATCAGTTTGTCGTGTTAAAGGAGGTGCAGATCTATTGACAAACGCTTTTCAAATGACAAAGAGAAATATGCTTGCTGGTCACTGCCTGGAGTGGCCGATATCTTTGAAGTGAACATGCTCTTTTTTGTTAATTTCTTCCACCTAAAAATTTTTTGTTAATAATCTTTAAGTGGAAAAAGAAATTATCATTGTGCCTGAACATGTTTATTTTATCAGATGTTATGATGTGGATTCTTTCTTTAGCATTATTCAGAAGTGAGGTACATGAGGGATTATAATTGTCAAGATATCGGTTGACATTTATGCTTACTACCATTAACTCATGTTGTTATGTTATTTTCTTTGACTATGTGTTTCATATATGTTTTATGTTTTGAAGTGAAATTTGTTTTTCAAATTTGCTGCACATTAATTACATTAACTAGATTATTAATTTGTCTGTATTCATTGATAAATTTGCTGATAACTTTTTTAAAGATGAGATGCATAACTTTTTGATGATTTTCGATCTAACTGGTCAAAAATCGCTAACGAATTATTTTGCTCCGAAGTATTGGATCAGTAATATGTTAACAAGATTTGTTCTGTCAAATAAAGGATACTATTAACGCAGTTAGTCCTTCCTCATAACAGCGAGTTTATGGAAATAGATAGACCGTTTAGTTGTTAAATTTGATTTGAGCTCACTTAAGTGATTCGAAATAGTATTTGTGTTCATAGTTGATGGGTCAATAAAAATTTCTGTTAGAACCGTTGCTCCCAGGCAGTTTTTTTCATACTTTTACCACAGTAGTAGTCGAATTTTACTCGTCTTACGAAAACGACACGTCAATTTAAGTTAAGATAAAATGTGAGTAGTGCTAGTCATTAAGTCGATCAATGTATATTATTCGTGATTATCGTAGTCTGTGATTATGCTTCACTACGAGGAAGTTGGCATATCCAACAAAGATTACGGAATTGATTTGGATGAAGTGTAAATAGCTACGTAAATATATATCTCAAACTCTGATCTCGCATCCATACTACTTTTTCAGTGCTAAAATTTGTAATTTCTTAAATTACTTTCGTGACTAAAACACAACAAATTTCACAGAAGGAAACTACTTTATCGCCCTGTGATAACATTTCTCATTACAGTTGCAAATGAAACTTCTGTTGAGGAAATTTTTGTTTGAGATCTGAGGTTGGTGAGCTTCTGAATCTTTGACACATACTTTTCAAAAACTTGGACTGATTGATTAAATAATTGCCGATTACTAACTGGTACTGTTTGAGAGCAGAATTATTTGATGTCATGAGAAGTGTAAGTGTAAGTCAGATTCAGAACAACAAAAGGACTTGTTCGATCTAATAGTTCAACTTTGATTCTAATTTTTCTGATCATTTTTTTGGTGAAAATCTCTCTTGTCATTCTGAAAATGCTGACTAGTCGTCTTTTAAAATCAAATTTATCTCTATCTTCAAGATTTATACTTTGCTATAATGTCTCACTGGGATTAAAGCCTACCGAAACGACAATTCTTTACTCTCATTACGATAGGATAGAATCTACGTATTCTATGTTCTTGCAATTATGATCTCAATATTTTTCAATGGTTTGATGAAGAAAGAAAGTGTTATTCAAAGAATGGGATTATCGTGTGAAAAGCTTATTCTGACTTCAATGGTAAAAACACAATATTTGGAAAGGTTGCATAACAAGCTTGAGGTTTTTTAGAAAAATTTAAGCAGGTGCCACCTCAGGCAAATGAATCTCCTCACTCGTGCTTGGGATTAAAGTTGTTCACGTCATGTCATGCATTCTTTTGACAACATTATGATGGCATTTGATTATTTCCGTCAAGTTGCAAGTTTCAAAGGAGCACACTTAACATTCAAGAATGATTTTTCTCGAGAAATTCTACCGTTATTGACGGTGTTCTCAAAGAATTCTGACTGTAAGTAATGAGTTAGTTTGCTTGTAACCGATGAGATGCGTTTATTTATTTGTATGCCAAACTTTGTAACTTCTATTTCAAGTGTTATTGTTGTTGTGATTTGACTAGTGTTTAAAACAGAATTATAATAGAAGAATTGCCCAATCGTTCTATTAACCAGAAGGTATCATTTAATAATTGGTACGAAATGAAAAAAAACGATAAGAAATGGCAATAAAAGATGCGGTAGTTTTTATTTCACATCGTAGGGGCAATCATTCCATTTATTGTCTTATAATGTAAAAGTTGATTATAAGGGTCAGATCAAGGAGTATAGATTAGATGTATTGTGTATATGTACGTATATGTATACGATATATTTATATATATGGGTCGTGGAAAAGGGGCAGGAAGGCATTCCATTCTCTTCCAAAGGCCTATTTAAATAGAATAGATTCTGTGGTGCATTTGCATGGTACACGTCGTTACGTGTATACGTCGTTGTCTTATTCTTCAGTACCCCTTAATTGCAATGTCATTATTCCTACTCAATTTATGCCATAACTAAATTTCTATTTGTCATTGCTTTTACAATTTAATCTAATTTATCTTTGATAGATAACATATTCGGATTTGGGTAATTTCATGGTCACAATGATGACAATAATTCATTTTAGTTGCAATAATCTTTTTGGCCATATTGTCCAGCACTTCGATCGTCCACTTTTAACAATGACGATGGAGTCGGATGGTCGTATTAAGGCCTATAAATTTGTCGCTTATTCTGCTGTATCATTTTCAATTGTAGCTGTATTGTCCGTAGTGATTTCTCTACCGATGGTTTACAATTATGTTGCACATGTGAGGAAACAAATGCATCAGGAAATTAACTTCTGCAAGGTAATAATCATTTGCTCCACTTTTTTTAGTTGACTATAATGAATATTTCTGAAGTAATAATTTTGGTATTTCAGCAAATTAACTGTTCTTCGCTGAAAAATTACTGCTTGCTCAATAAAATAGCTTTGAGTGAAAAGTTTTTTGCACTATTTCGCGCCATTTTTTTTAAATTAATGAATTTAAATGGCAGTTTATGGAAGGTATTCGTGGCATAAGCCTTAAACACTACATTATCTCAGCTTTGAGATTAGATCTTGGCGGTACTCATGAAACTGATGTTTCTGAGAGTACATTATGAAGCTCCTTCCTGTCGTGATCACATTTTCAATGTACCCAATGCATTATTCCAGTGCAAGTTTGAAGGTAGTAGTATTTAAAGACAAGTAAACAATAACAAAAGCTTTCATAATATTAAAAAAAATTAGTATTGACCATAAGGAAATTGTTGATTATTAAAGAAAACATTTGACTGATAGGTAATTCAACTAACTGTGCGCAAGAAAATCTTAGAAAGCAGCGACATCTTTTCCATAATTTGTCAACATGTTATCAGCCCTTGAAATCAGTGTCGATTTCACTTTATGGTTATACTGCTATAAACCATAAACTAATTGAGGATGAACGAATTTTTTGGACATTCATACACAGTACAAATATAAAAGTAAACGAGGTCATCGAATCTTGCGATCAGCGCTAAAATGGGGTCAAGAAAAAAGATGCAAATGTTGCGTAGCTGCGCAAAGTGGATTCGCTACAAACTGTAGAATTGTTTGGTATATGCGGTAGATAAGAGATTAGTTATTAGGTGCAAGACTTCTAACTTTCGCTATCGATTTGATTTTATAGCTAATTTTGTACAACTTCAACTCTGTTTTTCTTTTTTTTAAATAAAGTAGTCAACTTTCTCAAAACTCGGATAAAAGTTAGCACTGACATTTGTTTTCGTGACCAGAACAATGAATTCATTCCCTTCATTAAGTCATTCTTTTTAAGTCTAATATTCTCGCTTACACCTTTCAATAACAGCATAAATTTTGCTTTTCTCACTGAAGCAGTTGTTTATCTTAATTATAATTATATAATGTCATCTGCAATATAAATATATTTAGCTTAATGCAATCATATTACCTTAATAATCGGAAACTTATCTCTTCCAAGCAAATTACCTTACTGAAAACCATATATCTTTGGTATGCAATAGTCTGATTTCAAGCTGTGTATTCAGTTTAATTTAAATTTTGCAGAAGCTAAATACTTGTCAGTACTGTTCAAAACTTACAGAAATTTTATCTTTAAGCTTTGAAAGGAGTCAGTCAGCTTATTATCTCGAAGTTTTGAAACGAAAAATACACACCTTTTACATTTTAGCTATTTTGATTAGTTGGATTGAAACAGTACATAATTGGAATTAAGTAATCATTTATCAGAGACTGATTTTTAAGTTCCAATTTCAGAAATTCTAATTTGAGAGTTCGCAGACTCTTTTTTGCAAAAAGTATTTGATTAATCAACTCGTGATTTTTTATTGATTTCAATTAATGAATTTTTTTTCATTTTTATGAGATATATAAGGGACATTGATTCTGATTAAGGAACTATCTAAATTTCGAATTTTCTCCGTACCAAATGCAACACTCCATGAGAATGATGTTTTAAACTGGTATTTATCGCAAAATCTTTGATGAATTTGTACGAAATTCAGTGTTTCTAAATTCCACTCAATTTTGGTTACAATGGCTAGTAATAATCACAAGGAGATTACATCTATTAATGCTGAAGGAAGTCACATTGATGTCGTGATGCTATAAGAAATCATATTCGATTTCTAGCTGATTGAATCCTGATCAGCACTATAGTCTCATTGGTTTCAAATTCACTAATTAGCTTACACTTTAAAAAGCGACTGATTCAAAAGTAAAAAAAATCTTGGTTGTAGCTGGAAATGTATTACAGTTATCTAATCAGAGAAAAATTATTATATCGAAGTGCATGTAAAGAGAATCTGATGCAATTTTATTTAACCACTATGAGAAGAACTGATTTATCGAATACTTCAAGTATTCTGAAACTGCAATTTCTTTCCTGCTATCATTCAAACAAACGGATATTAAAATAATGATTATTTTTGCATTTTTCGAATCTAGTTATTCAGTACGGCTAGCGAAATTTCGAGGTAGCTTTGTGTATCGCCGCCTATTCAAGTAATGAAAAATTACTTTTGATGCAAATATTCTTTGTTTTGAAAATTTGAAATTTGAGGGGTCAGCAAATGAAATTTATACCGAAGTGAACTACATGAAGAATGCACAAGTTAACTCCAGACCTAACAACAGAACAGCTCGAGAATCGGGTTATTCTGAGGTGAATCCGACAGCAAATGTATTGCAATGTAATGGCTGTTGTATTCCAGGACCACCAGGTCCTCGGGGTGCGCCAGGTAAGCCAGGAAAACCGGGTAAACCTGGGATTCCTGGAAGTCCTGGATTACCTGGAAAACCACCAACGACTCCTTGTGAACCCACCACTCCACCGCCATGCAAACCATGTCCCCAAGGTGATTCATTAATTCTGAAACTTCTACTGTACTGTTGGTCCTCTTCCATGGATCAATTACTTTGAAAACTTCCTTAAATTGTTTTATTTTTCAGGACCACCTGGACCACCAGGACCACCCGGAGCACCAGGAGACCCCGGAGACGCTGGAGCACCTGGACGACCAGGTATTGATGCAAGTCCAGGCAGTCCCGGACCTAGAGGCCCACCAGGACCACCAGGTGAACAAGGACCACAAGGACCACCCGGAGAACCTGGTGTACCGGCGCAGAGCGAACCTGTAACACCGGGAGAGCCTGGTGAACCCGGTGACCCAGGGCCACCAGGACCTCCTGGTCCACCGGGGGCACCTGGCGCAGATGGTCCACCTGGTCCAGCTGGACCAAAAGGACCTCCAGGACCAGACGGACCACCTGGTGTGGATGGGCAACCAGGACCTCCTGGACCATCTGGACCTCCAGGAACACCTGGTGAAAAAGGCATTTGTCCTAAATACTGCGCAATTGACGGAGGTGTCTTCTTTGAAGATGGCACCAGACGATAATCTGAACGGTGCAATACCGCCACACCGAATTTAATTTTCTTCCAAATTGATTTATGTCATTTGGGATTTCGTTCCAACCACTGTTTCGGATCATACATGATGTCAAAAGTTTTATAATAACCAAAGATGTAGAAGAATCATCTAAAATCAAAAAGATAATTGCACAGTCAGAACTGAAATAGTAAACTGTAAAAAGTCATAGCTATGGCTGCGTATAATTAGAATTTTATTGCTGCTAAAAACTTTACAACTGTTCACTCGACGAACAGCTAGTTCCACGGAATGTGCGTAAAACAGACTAGTTAGATAATTTTTCAATTCACGGAAACAATAAAAGGTATATTGAACAGAAGCTAATGTGCAGTGCCTGAAACCTTTCCCTTCTTCCTATTTCATTTGAATATTTATACTGCCTTGTCTAACAACCTGAAATATTCCTTTGTGTTCAGTAAAAATAACAAAAGTTACATCTCTAAAGCATTTCTGCTTTTCCTAGAAATGAGTAATTCATTGTAAGAGTGCCTTTCCCGCCGTGTTTGGCATTATTTCTGCATAAGTTTTTTCAAAATCAAAAAATTGAAAAGCAATAAACAAGCAAAACGTTGTAATTTTCTAAGCACATTTTATCATCAATTTGTTTTTGTTTGATTACCCTTTATTGTCAACACAGTCATTTTCTCGTTTATTATTTGCCATACAATAAATATATGTACATACTTGCCCCGCCGAGCACATCTGCTCTTCACACTTTACTTAATTAAGTACATTTTATAATTTTCAGTAATTTATGCAAAGCACAAAGCTGACTTTTACTGTGCAAAAAGACTTTTCTGATAACTCTAAATTTTGATATCGAAGACTTTCTCCGATTTAATCTGAAAGTTTCAGGAAAAAGTACGGATTTTATTCAGCTTCAAGCTCTTTTCTATTCAAAGCGTTTATCTGTGCATTTATTATTAATTAATAAAAGATTAAAAAAACCTGCTACTTGCACTAGCCATACTTGCATAGCTGCAGAGAATAAGTAATCTCAGAATGAGTTCGAATTATTTGTTTCTTTTCTCGCTGCAACATAGCAGTGCAGCTATTACTGAATACGCAACTCAAAATCTGTTTGCCTTCTCGATTCAAGTGCTATGCACAACATGCGTGCAACTGCATATTATTGAATTTCGCGGAAAGAAAGAAATAAATCTCTAGCTGATTTTTCATATTTTGAATTCTTCAGAATGTAAATCGTAAGAATTTGAGAAAGCTAAAATCAGCGTTTCTTTGAAGGCTTACAGTGATATGAAGCAGTATATTCGTGACAATTTATCAACACTTTCAAGATGTTTAAAATTCTAATTTAAAGGGCGATTTCAATTCAGTTGGGATTCTAATGCTACAAACATTTTTGCAGATGCCAGCATCTTGAATAGCATCATTAGTTAGTTTCCTTTCATATGCTAGAATTCTTCCGCGATCTTAACTGCTGAATTCAAGTATGATGGTGTTTGGAATTCATTTCAGGATGTTACATTCTTTTAAAGTTTCCATTACATTCACGAATTTTCTTCTAAAAAAGTTGAAATTCACTTTTCAAATAAGTAAACAATTGCATCTCAGAAGATTGACATAATATTGTGCAGTATACTGTTATATGCTAAAAATTAATTCTAACGTACGTCAGTTGATCAATATTTTTTTATCACAGTGTTATAAAATGACGCCTGCTTATTTTATAAAAAAATATCTGCACACTTTTTTAATTGCTTGTTACTGGTATATTCTCAAAACTGTCAGTATTTAAACTGCTGAAATCGCCTGATTGCTTGGAAACTAAAATTTATCACTGATAATAAAAGTTTTCACCTTTTGCAAGAAAAGATAGTAAACTTTCACTTTTTCTCCGCAGATGACTAGTTAAATAGTTAAAAATTTAGAAAAGAAATTAAAGACTGATATCTTTATTAGAAACAATAACAATATATTACAGACTTTCCAGGGAAGGAAAGCTGATTAAGACTCAGATAGTATAATCACAGTTGGAATATATTTGTTTCAAAATACTATCACTGAAAAATCCAGTTCTTGCGAAGTTATTATTAAATACAATCTGATTATTGCAGTATTCAATCAGGTCATGGAGGAAAACGAATTATATCATTCGAGAACTCAAGATTTTGGTAGCACACTCGCTGGCGCTGAAACTTGAAGCAGTTACTTGAACGAACAACGACAGCAGTATTTGCATTTAGCATCGACTTCAGGCGTTTACTTTTAATCGTAAGTCAAAACTTTTTGCAACTTTTAATTGATAAACTTGCTTCTTTGAGCAAATTTCAATAACCATTTTACAAGTTGATAAAGTAAGCTTACTTGCAATTATCGACAAAAACAGTGCCAACCAAGCTTATTCGTGTTACTTTGAAAGTAATTTCAAAGAAATCTGTTTTTCAGGCAACACTTACACCAGATGGTTTGAATCTTCGTTTAACTTTTATCAAAACGCACTGCTCTATGAAAAGGGAAGGTTCGTTGCAGTTTATGGTAACAAATGTCTTCGATAAGGTAAATTGTATTCTTGCTACCACTGACTACACAGATGAATTAACCATACATATGAAGTTAGCTTTTTAGAAGAAAAAATCTAATGTAACATGTCTTTCTGCTTCTGCCCAATCCTCAATCTACTCACCACTGTTTCTTCTTAATTACCATATGTTAATTGCTGCAAACAACTTGTACCTCTACAACGTTTTTCCAGTAGTTGACGATTTTATAAAAGTTTTTCAAGTAATTCTGTGGAGATGGATTTTCAATTCCTTCCAGCTGCTTCAGCGATTCCAGCAAGACTTGAATCAAAACTTGCTATTGCGTACTAATGGAATCTGTAAAATGGCAAGATTATTTCAAGCACTGAACTTGCTGCACTTTAGTCTTTTGCTTGTGCAGTATTTTGCCGAGCAGCACTTTCAAAGAGAACACTTTCACGTGAAGCATCTTGACGTGATTATTTTTTGTAACATGACTATTATGCTTTTGAGAGACATTGCTTGTCTAAATAAAAAGCCATCAGAGTTTGACAGAAACAAAATTTATTTATCCTTCATTATCAAATTCTATATTTCAAAGTGAATCGTTAAGTAAATAAACTTTTTTATGCGTTTTTACTTTTTGACACACAAAGATAGACATCACAAGTCAGTTCCGTTTAGCTGAGAAGACTTCAGTCACAGCCTCTAATCCCACAAGCGAAACAGCACGAAACTATGTAACTGACCATAATTGTCGTTATTATCATCATTTTATTGCTATGCAAAACTTTTTTCTAGATAAAAAGCTTATCGTTCATTTTTATTTGTATTGACTTTTCTAAACCATTTAAGCGGTTGTCTCTCGGGATTCAATAATGGCTACGTGAGATTTTCACAGACTTCTCAAATTTCAAAGTTGCATCAATTTCAAAATTTGTGAGCATAGCATAGCTTAGATTCTGCTGCTTTTGATGCCTAGCAAACTGACTATAACGTATGAATTGTTTTGGCCAAAAACAAATTGCAAATGTGATATGTAAGCCAAGTTGAACATTTGATAGTTTGCAACCTGCTGAAGAGAAAGAAAGACATGAAGAAGTAATTATTGAAAGAAATAACGAAAGTTTGGGAATGCATGTTGATGATAATTTGCAAGTCATCGAAATAACCAAGCAGGGCCCTTGCGATGGTAAATTGTTACCTGGAGATCGTATTATTCAGGTAATTTTCACTTACCTAACTTGCAGATTCAAAGTAAGAGAAAGATAAAATAAACTGCTATTTTTCTCAAACATGAAATTATCGGTTAATCAGAAGTGATAAAGTACTGAAAGCATCTCAGACTGATTGAATCAAAAGTATGAACTGATTTTTAATCAGCATACCA